GATACTGCTGCAGTTTCCAGGTTTAGAGTGATTGGAAAGCACATAAAATCCAAAAAAATAATGTTAAAAGGAAGCTGATACTTTCTGCAGTTTCTGTCGACGGTGGAACTCCATCCATGGCGTTCACCCACATGGCTGAGTCCTCTACTCACTCACAAAAAAAAAAGCACTACGCCGCACGCTCTTGGTTCTTTTTGTTCATTATACTTGAGTTTGAGTTATTATGATTGTTTACAGGAACTTCTGACAGTGGATAAAGAGCTTCAAAAGATAATATGATATAAATGAGTACAAGAAACCGGCGGTTATAGCGTAAGAAGCAAAACATCAGTTCGTGATGGAGCTTGAGATTAAAAAGAGTGTCACTGCAGACCACTCAAAAATATCTTCTTCTTTTGTAGGCAGCTGGGTGATGATTTTAACCCTGATGTTGCAACTATCTTTAAGCTGCAGGTGTTTATATACTCGATTGGGAGGGAGATAAACAACTGGATCTTTGCATGAACACCTTCAGAGGAAGCTGTGTTCGTGGTGATGGACCGGGCCATCAGAGACCACCTCCTTGCTTGTCCACCGTTGCCAACCCAAGATTTCTCTCTTCTCTGACTGTACTTCTGGTTCATGATCTATTCAGCTAGGGCTCAGTCTGCTGCTTCTCAACTTTTTCCGCCTTCTCATCTACTCCCCTCTCTTCTTTGTTATCTGGTTCTTATTTTCTTTTGTAATAAGTTGCTTATGCAATAAATTTGTAAAAAAGTTGAAAATCCTTTGGTAGGAATCTTAGCATTTACACACACAAAAACACGAGAACCTAACATTTTCAACTCCCCATATCCAGCCATCTTACATATACATATATATCGTCCCTCCCAGTAGAAACTCTGTCAACCCTATGACTGTAGACTTTATCAGCCCACTGCTATTGAACTAATATAATATAAAAAAGAATGACATCATTTTAAAAACAGAAACATGTCTTGTCTCTATGATACTTTTGCATAATGAAACCTCTTCTCAAACAGATTACTAAAAGCACTCAACGCCCAAGAAACGTGTTCTCTCACAGAAAAAACTACAGCTACATAACACAATAACATAAAGAACGCTTGCCAGTCACCAATAGGGGTTTCCAATCCGGTTTCGGTTCGTTTTATCTGCTTTTCGGTTTATAAAATATAACTACCCTGAGGTTCAAAAAAATATATAACTACCATATTAAAACTATATATGCTTTGGTTTGTTTGGTTTATATACCGTCGATTTTTTATTTAGTTGGTGTTATTCCAAAAACATAAATATATTTATCTTTTATAATATTTTGTGATTTTACTTTATATGATTAGATATGGGATTTAATATAACATGAAGATATTTCGGCTTTAAATAGACTATTTTTATTTTTATTTTACTACTTAAATAATTAGTAGATATATTAATTTAATCATTATTTATTATTATTATTATTATTATTATAGTTTTTATAGATAAAAGTAAGAAAAATTAGTACACATATGTCTAATTTTACAAACTATCATGACGTAACTACCAAATACCTTTCCATCAGAAATGCTAAGTTTCACTATGTCAAAGACAAATAAGAACATTTCTATTAAAACAAACACTGCTTAGGAGTCTATTATATCCAAACAGTTGCAGAAAGTTTATATATCAATGTAGTTTACCTATACCGCATTAACAAGATATGCATGAGTAAAATGGCAGTCGGAAAAGCACACTTGGAAAAATTAGGAAGGACAATAAGGAAAATAACATGACATTGAATATGAAATCATTCGAAGTAAAAATTATGTAATTTATGGTAATCAAGTTTTCCATTGATTTAATGAAATAAAAAAGTCACAAATATATAAATATATAATTATATAATAGTCAAAATAGGATAATTCCTCTAAATATGCCTCACATTGATTTTAAAATTTTAGATGTTTTATAATAAAAGGGATAATACATCATTTTAAAATCTAAAATATCTTATAATACACAATTTCAGAGTTTTGGTGATTTGAAAAATATTTTTTTTAGATTGACCACTTCCAAAATATAAGCTCAATCATTAAAAAGTCTTAACAAAACAACAAAAACTCATGCCTAAAATTATGAAATATTTTATTTGAAGATTAATACGACTTTCATCCATATAATTAAATTTTTACTAACTATTTCATTACTCTAAACCTCATAATCAAATAGTTTTATTATTTGAAAAAAAGTTTTTAAAATGATAATTAAATTTGATAAATTCACAAAAATACATCTAATATCTAAACTATATATATTTAATTTTTTATAAAAATCCGGCGCGTAGCGCCGGCAGACCACTAGTAAATAAAAAAAGAACGAATAGTCGAATATCTTTTGGGAAGGTCCTCTTACTCACTGCCACGTGTCCTTCTAGTTCTGTCTGATTCCGGTCTTGGTAGACCTTTTGGTTTGACTCACTAAATTTTATTCCTTTCCATAAATAAGCTGGTTCTTTTTTTTTCAACGTTAAGCCGGTTAGATTTGGATTCAAATCTCCAAGGGTGATATGTTAGTTAACTTAAGTATCTCAGGATTAAAAAAATAGAAATTATTGAAAAAAAATGAAATGAAAAAACATGCAGTATAATCAGGCCGTTTAATAGCATGTTCTACCGGGGTGATCGAATATGACCCAAATCTAAAAATAAGAAAATACAATTTTTTTTTAAAAAAAATACATAAATATAGTTTAAAATATCAAATTTTTATACACTTCTTTTAAATTTATAGTTTATATTTTAAAGAAAACCACAAATAAGTATATCTAAAGATATTAATTTTAAAATTATTTTATTACATCATTAAAAGATATAGTTAATTTTTTTTAACAGGGTTCTAATATAATTTTTGACCGCTCTGATACAGTATAAATGCAGAGATATTTTGCTGTTAATATTAAAACCCCCTTCCAGTATGTATCCTCTACTAAATGGTTAAGAACATAATAGTACTTTGAGATAACTTTTGTTGATAAAAAAAAAATATATATATTTTTTTGTACTTTAAGGTACTGTTAAGGTTGTCCTTATATTTTGGAATTTTAGGTTTTCAGATTAAAAACCGTACTTAAAATTTATATCTGATTTGACCAAATTCAATTAATAATACTTCATATTCAAATATTTTAAAACGTTTTATTAGAATACTATAAAACTGAATTATTTTTAAATTCTAAACTTTTTAGATATTAATTTAGATATCCGTAATTTGTTTAGGTTTTCAAGTTGTTTAATTTTTTTGTCTCTATAGGTGGTCATGGATCGAATATCCGAGTTTTTGGAAGTATTCTTGATTTGATATGTTTTGTCTGAATAATTAGTTATTCAATTTGATTTGATCCATAGTCTTCAGGATATTTGATATCCTGAATATTCATAAAATTTTAGATTTTTAATCAGATATCAGAGTTGATATGTACAGATAAAAATAAAAAGTAATACAAAATCTTGTAAAATAATTATTTTATTACAAAAATTATCTACTATACCTAATATAATAAATATAAAAAATATAAAAAATAAAATTATTAAAAATTTCTATAAAATATAGTATTATATAAGATATATAATTCTTTAAATATATGTGTAAATATCCATATAACGGATAAGATCAGATATTTGCTCTTAAAAAATAGTATTTATGATTTTCTTCGTTTTTCAAAGATATTACAGATTAGTATTTGGTTTGTTTCGTAAATTCATGATATTCAGATATCTCGGTTCCAATCATAACAAAATCGAATTAAAATTTATGGATATTTTACCGAATCCTATATGTCCGTGTCGTTATTGGTTGATGTTTCTACTATTTTCCTCCTTTGTTCTCGTATTTTGCTAGATGGGGTTGTGACTGATTAGGTCTTAGGTTTGTGAAAGTTTTATTAGTATTGGGGTTGTGAATGATTAGGTCTCGAATTGTTTTGTTTCTTTGTTCTTGAGGGCTTATGTCTCTAGAGGTTATGTACCTGCTGGCTTGTTATCTCACAAATGTATCTCATCCTTGTAATTAGGCCTGGACAAAAAAATGGAACCGAAAAATCGAATCGAAATCGAACCGAAATACCCGAAACCAAAATTTGACCGACATTCTTAAATATCCGAATGGTTCTTATATATCTATACCTGAAAAACCGAACCGGAACCGGAACCGAACGGGTACCTGAATATCCGAAAAACAAGTTAATTTTTTTAAAAAATAAGATAAAATGACATCAAACCCACTTGAAACCATGTTAGATACAAGTAGCAAGTACATTTTAACACCAGACCTTGTTTTATAAATATATATGGTATTTTATATTAAATTATGATAAACATTTATAAAATTAACATTTTATTGATTCGAACTCTTGTTGGATTGACGAATATGTAAGCGTGTAAACACTAGACCATTTAAATTAATATATTAACTAATATATTTTGTATATATATATTTGATTTATATATTAAATGGGTATCCGGAACCGAACTGAAACCTAACTGGAACCGAACCAAAACCGAACTAAAATCTCATAAGTACTTATTGGGTATAAGAAAGATTTATCCGATATACCTGGAACCGAATGGTTCCTAGCCGGAACCGAACGGAATATCCGAATGCCCAGGCCTACTTGTAAATATCTTTTGGAATGGTAATAAAATTTTCAGTGTTAAAAGAAATAAATTCGGTTTGGGATGGGTTGGGCTTAAATGGGGGAAATTGGGTAATTAACTAAAGAATAAGGGATTAACTGTAAAATAATTTCCACGCCTGACGGCAGTTGCCATATCGCTTTATTTGTTTCTTCATCACCCCACACCGCACCACACCACCGTCTTTCTTTCTTTCTTCCTCATTTTCTCAAACTCGTTTTCCCTTCGTCCCACTGAGTCTTGTTTTCTTCATCAAATTCGATTAAAAAAATCCAACTTTGATTAAAAGGGTTTTACATCAGCTTCTCAAATTAAGGGATTCTCCAAATGGCGATCATCGGAGACGCGTTGCGTCAAGCGTTCATGCCGAAGCAAGAATACGATACCCTCAGGGAAGAAGACAGAGCCTGGATTAAGCTTCAACGCCCCGTACTCACCTCGATCGTGGCTTTCCTTTCCTTCCTCATCTTCACTTGCACAATCATCAGCTTGAAGATCGTCTTTCCTTCTAACGTTCTGAAGAGACCGTTCTGCAGCGACGTAAAGGTTCAGCCTTTACCTATTTACGGCAAGGCGCGTGACTCTGATCTGTTCCCCGGTGCTTTTTACTTGACGGATCAGGAGACTGTTGATTTTTACTGGATGGTTGTGTTTGTTCCGTCGGTGGTGGTGTTCCTTGTCTCGTCTCTTTATCTTGTTGCTGGTGAGTTGTGTCGTGATGTTTGGTTACTGATTCTATTTGATCACGTGCAATTTCTCATGGGAGTTATCTCTTGATGTTTAGCATTTTTTCAGCTAAATGGTGAGGTGAAAGATTGTTATAGAGGGTTGGTTGTTGGTTGATGTGACCTCAAAACTTTGCTTGTTGTTGGGTTTTGAAGGAAGCCACTACATGAAGACATGTCTAGTTCTGGTTTAGCTCAGTTCTGTTAGGGTTTAGTGTGTCAACAATAGGGAAAGTTGGTATTTGTTTCTTTGGTACATCCAGTTTAGTCATCTCCTTTTATAGCTTTCTGTCTTTTTATATATAGTAGATAAAGAGGTTTATGAAAGCTAATTAAGGCAAGTGTTTGTCTATGCTTGACTTTCTCACATGGTTTGGTAGCCCTTCTTAGTTTCTAGCTCTCTGAGTTGTTGATTGTTCTTTATTGTCATCCTAAATGGCTAAACTTCTCTACTATCTTCTCCTTCGTGTTGTCTTTTGTTAATATTTTCATAAAAGATGTGGTATGGTTTCTTATTTTTCTCGTTATTTTTTGGTGTTATACTGCAGGAATATTTGTGGCTTATTACGTTCCTCACCGTCATTGGTTTCTAAAAGTCGTTGAAAATAACTACTGTGCTTCAAGAAGAGGTATGCTCTCTTCTCTATCTCTCTCTTTAAGATGTATACGGCTGTCCATATATATGCTTCTATTTTCCATTCGTGCGTGCAATAGATTCATTCCTTTTCAATACCATTGTCTGGTAAACATATGTATATATAATAATCATGTTTCATCTACTATCGAGTATGATGTTTCCACCTTTGGAACCTTGCCTCTTCAGGGTTTAGCTTTTAGCTCAAATAGGTTATTGATTGATCTTCTTTATCCTATCTAATAAATTCACAGGTGGGGTTCGTTGCCTGTCAATTCTGAATGTTGTGTTCGCTATCATCTTTGGTCTCCTCGCTATATTTCTCGGTTCAACCCTCCTGACACTAGGAAGCAGCTGCTCTATGCCATTGTTTTGGTGCTACGAGATATCTTCATGGGGTTTGGTAATCTTGTATGCTGGAACTGCTTCCTCACTTAGGAGAAGAGCCGCTTTAACTATAGACGAAGGAGAGTTTGGGAACAGAAATCATCATCAGGGCTTGGAGATGCTTGAAGCCCATCCTTTGGAATTCACGCCAGACGTTGAAAGACGAGTGAACGAGGGGTTTAGAGCATGGATGGGTCCATCTTTGTTATCATCTGATGAAGAAGAAGATGAACCCGAGGTTTACAACGAAGTTCCCAATGTAACAGCTCATACTCTCTCTAACAGGCAAAGATCTTGAATCTTGAACAGAAGAATTTGTTATATGACACTTTCGTAAACATCCAAAGATGGGGTTGCTTCAAAGAATGTGCTCACGAAATTGTTGCCTCGGTTTCTCTCTTGTCTCTGATGTTTAGGGACGGATCATGAGAAGATAAAATCAGTGCGGTTAGGATTGTCCTGGTTGTAGATATTATTACATCATCACCACTGGGGTTTGGTTCTGTCATTGACCAGCTAAATGGTCGGTTTTGATCGTGTTTACATTAGCTATTTCCGGAGGCTAGACCAGCTTATTTGTGTTTGAAACTCATTCATGGAAATTTAAAAGTTAATTTCATGAGAAATGTATCTTTTCACTATTTAATCAATCGTATCATGTCCAGCGTTAAAAGATCTACATTTTACAAAAAAAAAATATCAGGAAGAGGGGGTTGAAAATAAGACGTACATGTATGTTATGACCAAAAAAATATTGAAGGCGAGAATGAATGTTCCTTCAGGGATCTATAAACAAAAGCAGCAGCTTCTTCTATCTGCAACTCTTCAGAAGATAAGATGATGGGCTCGTGTAGCCGCATGGAGAAGACGAGGATACCTTTGCTTTCCCAGGTGTCCCGCAGTCACTGAAGTCCAAGGCGCGACACTCCACCTGCATTTCCACACAGAACTGGTTCAGAGAAAGTCAACTTATATACTCAAAATTGCTATTCCCATATCTCTACCAGTTCAAGATTCAATTTTAAGCTAGACCAAGATTCAGTTCAAGTCTCCTCTATGGTGTGATTAATTGAATTAACAGTTTTTCCACACTTATTAAGCATTTGTAAGGATACATTATGTTGTGAGAGTTAAGCTGCTACCTGGGATCGGTTTTCAAGTTGATCGTGAGGCCAGAGCTGATTTTCTTTCCCTTGAACAGATTTGTTCAGCTGTCTCTTCTTGAGTATCGTTTCAGGTGTGTCATTGCCCAAGACTTCCAAAGCATCTGCATATGCCGTAGCTGTGTGTTCACTCAAGTGCTTCATCAGTCCTAAGGCATCATAACTTCTCTCTCCTGGACTCATAAAGCACCCAATATCCTGAAAATAAAAGAGAAACAACAAGGAATTGTGCATCAGCTGGCGCTTCAGTCTAAGACAAGAAGCTGAGTAGGCTGGAACAAGTTTCATTCATAGTTATTCTCTCAGATTACCTCAAACGTTATTTCTGGAGGCAACTTTGGGCTTTGCAAGAAAGAACCAAAGAGTAAAGGGGATTTCCATGGTGATGGGGTATCAAGGAGTCTTTTGAATGGAGTTCCATCAAATCTGTAAAACGAGTGGAACCAAGACAACTTAGAATAATACTATCCAGCCAATATATGAATCAACAAAAAAATAATCAGGTACCAAACACATACAGAGGAAAGGTAAAACTTACATGCTATAGTTTTCAATGATATCAACACTACTCTCTCCAGTGTTGGTTTTAATTTCCGCGAATGGAGTCTCTGATGAGATTTCTCCAGTTGGAATAGTACTTACTGACCTTTCGTGTTGGTTCGATGGATCTTTTGCAACTGTATTCACTTTGTTATCTGTTCTAAATCCTGTTTTATCAGGAGAACTCAGTTGCATCTCAACATCACTATGATAAACCAAACTTCTACGAGTTTCTTGGTCCTGGTGCAGAGAAAACCAAAACCAGATTTAGAGATTAAAGCCTATGGTAAATTATTGGAGAACTAGCACCAGGGGCCAAATTATGATCCTTGACAAAGACCGCTCAAATAACTAGATGCAATGTGCTTGAACAAACTATTATCAAGTTCCAACAAAAAGAGATTTCAACAAACTAGATTTGATGTGTTAAGCAACGAGAAGTTCACTAGCAGACTCAATATATGTATACCAGACAGTGCACGTTAAAGCATGTAGATTAAGAACACGGACTTACAATTTTAGCTGAAGTCAATACTTCTGACTCTAAGGTTTCCTTTGGGTCCTCTTTGGCTTCAGAAGAGGAAGCACATTTATTTTTATTGTCAGGACATTCTGACAGACGTGAGGAATTGCAATCATCTCCATCATCAATCATAACATCTAAGCGTGAAAAATCTTTAGCCAAGAAGGAAGTTTCAGCACTTTTATTCACTTTTCCTTTTCTCCTATCAAGCACAGGTGACAGAAAGTCCCGATGCCGCTTCTTTAAGATGGACGGTGCACCACTGGAACTATTGGTAGCATCTTTAAGCATGACACCAGGGGTCTTATCATGACACGGTGAATCCCATAACCTTAACGGAGTTGTACAATTCATGGAAGAAATCATCAACTGGCGGATACCAAAGGGACTGTACTCTTGCCGTAAGTCACTACTTGATGGTGCAAGATCACAGCTAAGGAAAGGAATATCTGCACTTGGAAAACGTGGAGGTTCATAACAAAGAGTTCCTTTGTCTTTTTCAGCTGGCTTATCGGCAATAGGAAAATGAATCTTCTTCACTCTAGCAGGAGAAGCAAAATTATTCAGAGGCACTAGCTTCAAAGAATCCTTGGGAATATATGATATCTCATGCTGTTCTGGGATACCATCATTGCCATGGGAAGTTACAAGTCCATCAGTGTCGATGAAACCATCATTTCCAGTAGCTCCAAGAAGGTTACCTTGAGTAGGATCATTAGAATTTGAAGGATGCGAGGACAAAGCTAGAATGATTCCAGTTTCATTATCATGGGTTTCTGCAGACAGAGAAGAAAGAGATCCTTTGCCCTTATGAGGGTCAACCATATTCTGACCTTGCTCAGCATAAGATGTATAGCTATCTTTCATGTTATTTGGAAAAAGAACCATACAGCATTCCTCGTCCGTGATCAAAGTTTGAGGTTGTGGCAACGAAGGTTGATCACTTAATCTGACTGAATTTTGAAAATCTTGGCATGCTTCAATTTTTCCATTACCGTCCATATTATGGGTCAATAACTGAGGACAGTCTAGATTGAGGTCCTGATTAGCATTATCTGATACACCCTGCAAGTGATCCCCATCACAAGAGATTTTTGGGACAACAATTTTAACATCTTCCAAGGACGGGTAGTACGTTTCTGCATGAGATGGTGAGTTTGAGATTTGCTGCTCTTTTCCTGGAGGCATTTCAGGATTGTAGAATACTTCATCTGCAGTTTTAACCTCATCTAGTAAATCATTGGTCGACTGTGAACAACTGAAAACAGTTGAAGCTTGGCTGCATTCTGATTCTTCCGCATCAGCCCCTTGCCTGAAATTACCTTCATCTCCACTGCTGGGCGTCCACGAGGGAGATGAAGCGATGGATCTGTTCTGAAGGGCAATCAGTGGCGAACTTTGACACTGGTCAAGAAGTCCTGATGCGTAGTAGGAATCCAATTTCTTCTTAACTGCGCTGTTCCAGTGATTTTTTATTGAATTGTCTGACCTACGGAAACACAAGAACAAATAAAAAAATAACCAAAAAGGAAGGCTAGACCACAACAATCAGCAGAATAAGCATAACAGACCACCAAATTTTAAGGCACAAAAATTATATCATATTACCTTCCTGGCAAGAACTTCATCAGATCTGCCCATTTATTCCCATATATTTGATGTGCACGAATAAGAGTTAGTTCCTCTTCCTGAGACCATGGACTTTTATTAATGGCAGGGTTGAGATGGTTATGCCACCTACATCAACCACAATATTGTTCATGCGTATCCAAGCATAACTTATAGAAAGAAGTGTAGTAATGACTAATGAACGTCATTTTATTGGCACAAGAAGTAGAGATTACGCTCATACCTTTCCCTACATTGCTTTCCTATGCGCCCAGGTAAATGCTGACAAATAGTAGACCATTTCGTTGGCCCGTATTTTTCTACCAAAGCAATTATTGTGTCATCCTCCTTTGAAAATATGGAAAAAACCAAATGTCATACAACACATTACAGAGAAGAACATGTAAGACACTGAAACGTATCACCACGCTGAACAAAGTTGAGTAAAGCATAATCACCTCTTTTGACCATGGACCTTTCACAAGCTCTGGGTTCAAGACCTTTTGCCATCTATGAAGACACTGAACATCAGAACGATCCTTAAAAGACTCGGCTGAAAAAGGTGAAACAAATAAAATCACACATTGCCTTCACCATCTCAATTCAAGGCAACAAATAAACGAGGCAGCTAAAATAGAGTATTGGTAGGATCTTTACAAACGTTGAAAAACGAAACTAGGACAGAAGGACTCAGAGTTTGCTAATTGACTTACCTATCTTCTTCCAGTTCTTTCCTTGAAACCGCTCGACAGCCTTGCACAAGACTTCGTCCTGTTCCATAAAAACATAATTAATCCAACAGAAAATGTCATAGTGACATATCTTCAGGACACACAAAGGATAACTAGAGAAAGGATGTGATACAACCAACTGATTACGCTCAGCTAGTGTACCAGCACACATCTCTGATTGAAAACTTGCCAGATTCACAACATTTGAAGCTTGCAAGAATCAGATAGACAACAAAGAAAAAAGAACATACGAACTCACCTCTTCAGGGGTCCATTGTCCTTTGGTGGATCGTCTTGCAGGGCCATAAGTCCTCCTACAAAAGTGTAATACACATCACAAAAGAGCTTGAAACATTAAAACCTGCAAATATCTTGTTAACTCGGTGATAATAAAGTGAGAAGTGAAGCATACCCATGACTCCCTTTCTGAGTTCCATCTTGTGGAACATTGGGAGGGGCTTTCATCTCACGCTTCATAGTTAGCTTAACAAGAGAAGAGCAATATCACATAACCTAAAGCCGGTTCCTTTGGATATGTTTAACCTATCGTTAAGAAGAAGCCTACCACACAATCTGAAACAAACAAAAAATTGAAACTTTAAAAACATAAATGTAAGTGGGAATAACAATCAGCATACGGTCCTTAGCAAAAGAGTAAACATTCCTAGAAACTAATAAAGAAAGCTTCAACCTTTTCTCTAAACACAAAAATGTCGAAATGGCAGTGTGTTTTTTGAGAGAAAGCTTGAGAAAGTAAAATCAAAATAAGACCTTTAAGAAGAAGACACACAGTAGCAGATCCCACCAAATCCAGAAACTAATCAAAACGATGAAGAATCGAAATAGAGATGTGTGTGTGTGTGTGAGAGAGAGAGAGAGAGAGAGAGAGAGAGAGAGAGAGGCGGAATTGGAAGTGAGATCAAAAACAAAAGGAGAAGAGATGATCTGAGCCGTTGAATTCAATCTGTAAATTACTTCCTACGCCTATATTATTATTATTTTATACGTTTTCTTTTCTTTTTTTTTGGTCAACATTTTTATACATTTTCTGTTTTTTTCGAGATTATTCGTTTTTTTTCTTCTATTTAACGCTACTAACAAACCACTAACAACACTCAAATAGCATTAGGCATTCATTAGCATATATTTTTTCAATTAAAGAAACCATTTAAATGGAACTTGTTTTCTAATTTAGATCTCTTATGTGGACAAAGTCAAACGAATAGACTACATGAAATAAATTTAGATTTTCAAAAAATCACTAAATGAGTGAGTTAATAGTAATACTTGCATTATTAGAATACTTTCAGTAATTAACAATAGCTTGTCTTTTAGATTCTCACTTTGTTAATAATGTTCAGAGAATCTTTCCAAAAATTAAAAAGGATAATTAAGGTAGATCAACAGTAGGAAAGATAGTTGTGCATAATAAGCAAAGAGTGTAAGTAAACAAGAATAGCAAAAATTATTAGAGCTAAAAATCTTTCCAAAAAAATATAAAAACGAAACCAGATATTATCTTTGTGAAAAATTTGCCAAAAATAGCAACTACTACAAAATTTGCTTGCTGATTTCTAGTTATAGCATCTCACCAAGTCACAAGTAGATAATTAAGGTTTCGAGTGTGAGGGGTGTACTTAGATCATAAAAGTCGCAACCACAAATTATATTAAAACAGAAGCAAGTCGTCACTAGCTATTAGAAAGAGTGTCATCATCATGCTTCCACCTTCTGAGCTTTGTTCCAGCGACCACCCGGTGAATCAGATCCCCTCTTTCTCCCGAATCTCCCTCCTCCTCGTCTTCCTCCCCTGCACACACCACCACACCCACTACTTTTAGGCAAACTAAACCAAACCAAACATAAAATATTCAAATACCAAAACATGTACTCACCTTCCTCCACGGCCACCCTTGTCAAACCTGTCTTTGCTGCGAAGGAGACCCCAGTACTCCTTTTCAGCTTCCCCTGATACCAAGAAAATACCCATTTTAAGTCAAGCAGAAAACTGTACAGTTAAAGATAAGATGAAAGTTAAGAAAGTGTTTTTTTACCGGTAAGAGGTTCTAGGACAGCGATGAAATTTTTCACGGCTAGTCCACCTTCTTTGGCTAACACTGCTGCTGCACGGGCTTTCTGGGATGCTTCTGGTTCATCAAACCTAAGGTAACCCGTCTCAGCTCCCATTTTGAAATCCACAAACTTCACAGGGAAAAGAGAAACAATGAGTAATAAAAATACAAACCAAAATGCTAACAAGAACAAACGATTTATTAGAAATGACAATAGAATAGGATGTTATGTACCTTGACATCACCGAATTTTCCAAAAACGGCCTTAAGATCTTCACGCAAGACAACTTCTTTGTTATCTTTATGGGTTGCTAGAGCACCCTTTTCTTCTCTCTCCCCATTCTTAGTTGGAGGGTCTGAAGATTCATCATCATCATCTTCACCCTCTGTTCCTTGGCCCTGAACCTGATCAGTGTTTTCTACATCCGCAGGTTTTGAGTCATTTTCATCCACTGTCTTCGCAGTTGGCTCTTCAGAACTCTTCTCTTCTGTGGCACCTTCTTCATCTGAGCGCTTTAGAGTGAAAGAAATGATCAAACCCTTGGGATAGCTACAATATCACAAAACATCCATGGTCAGTTCAATAACATTAATAGCAACAAAAAAGATAAGAAAACTAATAGCAGTAGTGAAACTCCTACTTTGCCTCATGGTCAGAGCCGCTCTTATTATCAGAGCCATTATTCTGATTTGCAGAACCCTTTTGAGGACGGTAGCTAGCAAACTTTTCTTCATCTTTCTCCCTTTCTTCATCAAACTCTTTCCTGAAAGAGAATAGTTTCTTCTAAGTAACTCATCTAAACAACTAATATAAAAACACTATGGAATGAGAAAGAGACAATAAACAGGACATGTTTTAGGCCCTAGTAAGCTTACTTTGGTTTCATCTCCAAGTCGACACCAGCAAAGACCAACTTTTGCTTCATAACATTTTGGGCATCCTCTTCTGTAGGGAACTCTACCAAGACAACACCAGAAAACACTCTCGTCTCAGCTACATGACGAGGCAACCTCACACTATTAACCTGAAAAGAAAACACATGCATACATCACATTAGTATAACTAGTAAAATCTCACTATTAGTATTTTCCCCAAATTTATAACTCAAATGACAGTGAAATTACCTTTCCATACTGACTGAAAAAGGCTTCCACATCATCCCTTTTAACATCAAAGGAGAATGGTGAAGCAGAAACTGTCCTAGCATTAAGTTGTTCAATCAAGTCTTCAAGCTTCAACAACTCTGTATTCCTACCAACCTTTTGCCCTGTGCAACCAAGAAAGATACTTCTCAATACTGGGCATATCCATGTTAACAAGGCTTATGAGTTTCAAATAAAAAAATGACAGGTCTCTCAATGTAGCTAACACTTCTCCTATACATGAAAATCTTAACACAATGGCATGCACTTATAAGATTCAAAAAAAAGAAAAGAATTACCATCTTCTGAAACCTTGAGAGCCGAAGAGGTACGAAGGGTATCAGCAACAGCTTTGATGGTATCTTCAGGAATCTCATCTCCTTTCGAATCACCCAACTTTAAATATCCTCTCATCTTACTGAAGGAACATATCAACGCCAAACTAACCACTGTTCTCCAAAACCAAACATCAACACAGGAAGAAGACAAAGATCAAATCATCACTCATCACTTAGCAATAAACAAAAAAAAACATAACGAAAGCGATTGAACTGTTTAAAAGATAGAAACTTACATCCATCTTCACTATTTGTAACAGTCTTCTTCAAGAAATCATCAATGGGGAGGTTACTATCACTGAAGTAGAACTCCACCTAAAAGAATCGAATATCGATGTTAAAAACTGATGAAGCCATAGAGAAATAGAAGAGAGGAAAGAGAGGTTTGAACCTGGCGGAGAACAGTTTTTGCAGTTTCTTCTGTGAGACAAGGGATCGACATTGTTATTCACTGGTTCAAGAGGCAGACAAGGACGAAGAGTGTACTAGGTTTAGTCCGAGACAGCTTCTATAGTCAAATTTGCAATTTATATTTAGTTTTTAGTTTCTACTTTTGATCCTTTACTTTCAACTTTTTATTTCGTAATAGCCTACAAGTTTATTATCGTTCTGATTTACCCCACTGTGTGGATTCACTACATCATTTTGACCAAACAATTCTAATGTGAATTCACGTCCGACTGCATCATCTTAAATCATCTCGTCCTATAAAATCCATTCCTGACGGTACTCTAATTTTTTTCTAAATTTCTAGATAATCCACCTTTTCTTGGAATTAAAACTTGGAAATTGCATATTGACCTGGTGTAGAAACTTTTTAAACCTTTGACTACTAGGCCTGAGCATAAAATCTGTAATCCAAAATCCGAAGCGAATCCGAACCGAAAAATCCGATCCGAACCCGGTCTGAAATATAAAAAATACCCGAATGAATCTTGTAAGGTGGTATGAAACATAACCGAACCCGAAGTGTTATTAACCGAACCCGAATAGGTAACCCGAAAAAACCGAAAAAACCAGAACACCCAAAAATATATCTGAAGAAACCGATCCGAATATCCAAACTAATATACAATATAATTATATGAAACATAAATATATACTTCAAATATTAAATTTCATATTTATTTTGATATGGTATCAAACAATAAGTATTTAAAATTTAAATAAGTATCTTAAATACTTAATTATATATAAATAAATATATATTTTTTATGTTTTCCTTTTAAATTTTAGATTTTACTTCGGGTATATCTGAACCGATCCGATATAACCCGAAGGTTACTTTATGGGTTCTATGATGTGATACAAAACCGATCCGAACCTGATGTGTTATATCCGAACCCGACCCGTAATTACAAATTTACTAGAATAGGACCTATAAGGTGATATAAAAAAGAACCGAAATCCGAAAAACTCGACCCGAACGCCAACGGGGATCCGAACGCCCAGGTCTAACTAGGTCATTGTGCCTTTACAATACAAAATTTAGAACATGCATACAAATTTGGTTTTCTAGATTAGAAATCGATATATAAACATCTTATAACAAAAGTTAATATGTGGATCATCTGATCACTACAAAACATGGAAGATATATTGATTAAGAAACTCTTACTACTTGTGAACTATTTAACTCATGTATAAAAACACTATGGGAAGAGAAACAATACACTAACACAGCTTATTTATGTGTCTCCACACTACAAACGCTCATAACAGTCAAAGTGTGCGATAAATCATATATACAAATGAATGAAGTAGCTAGAACACAAGACTCCAAGACCAATAGCTACATACTAGTTCCACAACGTACTGCTAAGCATACATAGCTACATATTAGTACTGCTAAGCATACTAATCAATAAAATAGAGTTCATATTCAACCAATGCATTTACTCTTTTGGAACAATGAGTACATCATATAGAAAAATGTTGACAGTATTTACAGTCAAATAGAATTTCCTTTGCCTACTCTTTCAATATAACTTTTGTCATGTTACAATTTCTAAGTGATCTATGACAACAGTTTATTGGTTGTAACTTTACAGGCTCTCTTTGAATTAATAAGAAAAGCCATCGGAACATAGCAGGAGTCCCTTTGGATTGGTCTGTTCCTCTCCAAGCGAGGAGACTGTCCCACTGAAATCAATTATCTTCATCACTTCATGAAGATGAAACAGAGCACGCATTTAATCAAGCCGGGAACACTCCGAGCCATCCAATATACATGTGAGCGAGTTGCTCAAACAATCAGAGGCTTTTAAGTTGAGATATAAAGTCACTGATGTCTTAATCAGCCTGAAGGGGCTCTAAAGAACCCCATGTTTTTCCAATCTTCAATTTCACATGTAGAGGGACTAAAAATACATAACAGAATTAATTAAGTCAACATATAACATTTATCTAAATGACATGAAAAAGAGCATGGTATATGGGGAACATACCAAGAAGTGAAACCGCATTTTCCATGCTGGATTGCAGCAACATTGCAGCTTCTTTTGCGTAAGAAGGATCAACTTCCAGCACAAGTTCATCATGTACCTGCATAATGAATGTCCCATTACTTTAATGAGCTATATAGACAATATGAACAAACGTTAACTTGCAGGAGAAAATATACAAAATTGAAAACATGGAAAGAAACAAAACTCAAACAACAAAAAGAGTAGGCAACTCTTACCTGCAGAAGAATTCTGCATCGTCCCTTCAACATGTGAAACCTAGTTTCAGTTGAAGAACTAGATGCTGCAGTATTAACATCCTCAGAAATAGCAGAATATATGTTTATCATCGCAATCTTGATTATATCAGCAGCAGATCCCTAAGTAAAACGATAACCATGTAAAAATTATGGTCTAATTAAACATCACAGCATAACACTAAGTGTCATGGAAAGAAAGGAAAGGAAGAGAAACAAGGTCAAACCTGGCACACAGAATTAACAGCTTGCCTTTGAGCCTTAGCTTTCTCTTTGGCATTCCCAAATTTAATCTTCGACAAGAACCGCCTTCTCCCCTTGAGAGTCTGAATGAATCTGCATATCAAAATACTTGTAGTTATAATTCACAGAGAAAGCTATAAACCTGCACATTCTGACTTCAGCAAGAAACAATGAAAATGCACATCCAACTGATCACAGACAATATGAGAAAGATTATGATTTAAAGGAACAAATGGGACTGTATTCAAATTAAAACATAGAAGGAACTAGACTTGGCTATGTTGAACATCCACTCGATCACAACACTGAAAACTCGAGGAAAAGAGCCTAAAGAAGATTATGAGATTCTGTAAACAAATGCTAGACCTAAGGTCTCTACACCTGATCAATAAGTTGACCAGCCTCTAAAGCCCATCCAAAGGAGATATAAGCCGATTAATCAAAATAGTATAATGTACATATCAGTAATTTTAGTGGTAATAATTATTAAAGAAGATAAGTGTAACATGCTCACCCTTTTTCCTCGCAAAATGAAACTGTTTCGTTAAGCCAAGACGTGACTGCAGGGAAAGATCTTTTAAAGCTTCTAATTTTCTCCTTGGCTTCATCTGAGCTGCATTCAAGCTGTTCAGCAAGTGTGTTTGCACCCATTCCATATAGAATTCCATAGATCAATCTTTTGGTCTGATCTCTATCATGTGAACTAACAAGATCCTCGGTCTTTCCAGTCCATTTTGCAGCTATCATCGTAAAGACATCACCTTCTGGCTGACTAAGTTGTGCAATCAACGAGGAATCTCTAGAAAAATGTGCCATAAGTCGCAACTCTATCTGTGAATAATCTGCCGTCAAGAGTAACCAATTTTCCTGTGGCGAAAAGATACCATATTGAGACTTCAATAATGCTTTCACTTGCAGAACTCGTTTTAGAGATGAAGACCAAAGACACAAAACTTTTAGACACAAGGAAATTTACCTGAGTAGGAACAAAGAAATCACGTGCGTTGAGTTTGTAGCGATCAGCATCTGAATTTACTTCCTTTCCACTTTTATCCAATACAAACTCTACTTCATGCTCAACAGTCTGCATAAAAAGTAACATGTCGTTTAATTTTGGATACAGGATAGAATGAAAAAAAGGAAACATAACAAAAGGCATACTTGGAGATTAGGCTCCTCTATGGAAAGCCGTCCAGTTGCTGTGGATGTTTGAAGCCAGTGGCCATGCAAAGTGTACCTTTGCGTGCTTAAGCGTAGTTTAGCAAGCGAACAAATTGATCCAAGTGTACAATTTAAGAGCTTTGCCAAAGTGCGGTGCTCTTTGATAATTGGGACAACAGGATGCTCATTCCTGAGACAAAGTCATAATCCCAAGTTCGGTCAGACCAAAATAAACCAAAATAGAACCACATTAACAACATATGCAAAGAAAAGCAATTACCCCCTTGGAATACCTTAAAAGATCCAAGCAATGCTTATCAGTACTTGGATGAAGTTTCCCTTTATTGTGGCTTTCCGGTATGGGCAGCTTCAGCTGTCTAAACAGCACATTTGAAATATCAGCTGGGCTGTGCAATGAAAATGTCATGCCAGCTAATTCAAATGCTTTCTTCTCAAGGGACCGCAGTTTATCCCGCAATACATTCCGTGCCCTAAGACACCCCTCTATATCAACACCTATACCCCAGAGCTCCATGTCTGCAAGGACATTGACCTGAAACACAGAATGATTGCATTATGCTGCCGGAAAAATAACTAATCAGCAAATGGCTGCTTGAACAATAGTTGACTTTGAGCAAGACGCGCTGGATGTTGGTGCAGTCACCTCAGTAACAAAACCAAAAAAGAAAACAATTTAAAGGGGATTTACCAGAGGCATTTCCGTGGTTGTCAGTGCTTCAATAAGTTCTTCGGAAACAAGGATCTTCCAAAGAGCTGAACAAAGGGCTCGCGTTTGAGCAACCCGTCTGCAGCAACCATTGTGAGCAACTCTTCGGATCTGATTCCTCCACCTGCCACTGCGGTTTGCAGCTTCAGCTGCCTCTGGGGACAGTCTTTTCTTTACCTCCTATAACAGTTTTACAAATTTAAATGAACAAATATACTAAGTAGGTACGAGCTACCAAGAAAATATAATTAGTTATTTATACAATGGTCAATCTGGAACTACCTTATCTATGTTTGGATTTGAGTGTCTTTCCTCATCTGGCCAAAGAATCCAAGACACGATGCTCATGTCAATGGTGTGGCTTATACGCAGCGGAAGCATCATTAACCAAGAACCATCCACCAAGTCATGATCCTTGATCCCTTCTGCAAGATTCAGGCGAGCACATCTTTGGACTGGAATGGCAGGACTCTTGAGAACTTGAATCTGGTTTTTCAAATTCCACGTGAACTTTCTCGTATTTTCATTCCCCATTATTTTACTGATTCTGTTCCACCTAGATTTAATCACATCAAGCATGTTTTGGGTACCCAAAACGTCTTTCTTGTCGACAACTGCATCCTTGAAAAGCTTTTCTTTTTCTTCACATTC